TGGTACTTAACGTAAATTAAACCTTAAAACTTGGATCCATTCAACCATTAACTAATTATATTCAGTTTATTATCCAGGGCTACTTAAAGTGTAAGAACTCTTTCTATTGTTATTCCTTTTATTATTATAAGATAGCGAAACTAATTTCCCGTTTGAATGGCAATAACATTATCTGTCAATGTTCATAAGTATGTGTTAGTACAATGAGTATTTGAAAAGTGGTTTTAACCCCAAAAAGCTCAAATATTGTACGCAAGTCATATAAGAAACAACAGTAAAATATCCCCACCGCAGTAAACCTGAAAGCTAAGCGAATTTTAATTTTTCTGATTGGAGTTTTACTCAAATATTTCCATAAACAAGACCATTTTCCCCAATTTAAATAACATGAGATTCAACGAGTAATTAGGTTTGGTGCTGCGGGGAAGGTATAAAATGTCTTATGACCAAATGTAACCATTATAGAATGAAATAAATAATTTCCAGGTTCAATCAACATACAAAAAAGCTAACATTCTGTTTATACATAAAATTGGCATGCAAACTTTAAATTAACAGTTTTTTTTATTTTGTCCCTAACCCTTAACTTGTAAGACAACGCTATAATATATAAGGTGATTTGAATTTTAAGCTCTACGCAATAATATGTCGATGTTTAAAGGGTGAAACTATCAATTTAAAAAAATGACACCTTGTTCCCAGGACCCGACCTTGCTCTATCGTGAATTCATTCAAGTGTAGTATCTCACCCTCAGCCTTCAAGCCAAATTTCGTCAAAATCAGACCAAAATGACTTCAGTCGTCGTATTCATGGACACATATCACTTCAAAAACCACTTTGGTGTTTAGAGGGATCCAAAACGGATTTTTTCAGCCAAAACTCAAACTCGAAAATTCTGACGAAAACAATAGGCCCACTTTCTCCGAATACTGTATAAGGGGAGAAAAAAATGGGTCATTTATTTATTTACACTTATTTTTAGCAAAACAAATTCCTGGGATAATTAAGCTTTACTTAATTGGAGGGGTTCTTATATTTGTTTAAATCTTAAACGTTATTGGTTGATAGTTATGAAATTTAAGCCAGAGAAGCCACAATCTGAGTGCCATTATAATAATGTCTGTCTTTAACCCATTGAATCCAAATTTATCAACTAGTACCGGGGGATTAAGACATGGCTCGGTTTAGTTTATTTCGATTGTGAAAGCAATACTGTATAAGAGAAACTCAGGTTTTATTTACAACTAGTTTTGGCTTTTATTATTTTTCAGTGGGATTTCAATTTATTATGATGGAGTATTTTAACCTGGCAATCCACAGCACATTAATTTATTTTACAGTCGATGAAAGCACACTCGTTTATACCAATACTTACTTAGGTTAGTTTATGCCTATACTTGCATAAACATTGTTTCGACAGTTTGTTTAGTTAATTAAAATAGCTGAATAGCTGATTCAAAATTGTTGTTTATATTCAAATTTATATAAAATAAACGGTATCAGCATTCTGACACATACTTTCTCCCATAAGTTTGTCAACAACCTTTATCATGTGTAAGCGGTGAAAGTAAATATACGGAAATGTAATTTGTACGATTTTGTTCAGAATTTAAAGGACTACATACTAATTTTTTTCAAAAGCGTTCGTGCCATTTTTGTGAAAATCAGATTTTTCCGTTATTTTATGGGGTTTTTATGGGGAAATAACATAATTTACAATAACTTTTGAACCATAATTTTTACAGAAATGGGATTTGTACCATTTTGTTCAGAATATAAAGGACTATAACATACAAATTTTTTATCAAAATCGTTCGGGCCGTTTTTGGGAAAATCCTATTTTTCTGTTATTTTATGGGGTTTTATGGGAAGATTCCCATTAAAAATTATTTTTTTTTTTTAATTAAAAAAACTATCAAAACTTTAAGGACTATAACATACTATGTTAAAATAAAACCGGATTTTTTTCTAAAATCCTATTTTTCGTTATTTTATTGGGTTTTTATGGGAAAATAACATAATTTACCATAACTTTTGAACCGTAATTTTTACAGAAATGGGATTTGTACTATTTTGTTCAGAATATAAAGGGCTACAACATACTAAATTTTTATCAAAATCGTTCGGGCCATTTTCGAGAAAATCCTATTTTTCAGGTTTTTTATGGGTTTTTATGGGAAAATCCCCATTAAAAATCAAAATTTCAAAAAAATGAAAAAACGCCTAGAGATACCATGGATTAGAACCTACATACCAAATTTCATCTAAATCGGACCACAGGTGTAGTCCCTAGCTCTGTACACATCCAGACACACAGACACACACACAGACACACACACACACACACACAGACATCACTTCAAAAACCACTTTTTTGGGTCCAGGGGGACCCAAAACGAATATATCCACTCAAAACTCAAACTCGAAAATTTTGACGAAAACAATACTTTCTCCATACTATGGTATAGGGGGAGAAAGTAAAAATATAAAATTATGAAATATTTATTTCTCTGTTAAACTAATGTTTGCTAACAATAGCCTGAGTAAGTATTAAGTTTTGGATAGTTATTATTTTATTAATTATTTAATTATTTTACTAATCCGGGTATTAAGTTTTGGTAGAAAAGAGTCAAGTAAAATAATCCATTATTTGATCGAAACTATTTTCCCTATATCGAGTAATCTTGAGTGTAATCTTTGCTCAATAGTAGCAACTGTTGACAACTGTAAACGATTTACAATACTGTATTATTCTTTGTGTCGTAGGTATAATAGAAAGAAAGGTTTATGAAAACGGCCTCTTGAATAATTTCCCTAAAAATAGCTCACTCGTTGAAGATTAAATCCTTGCATTGGTCTTTATAGTCAAAAGAACGTTTATAAAAAATAACAGAATCATCAAATAATTTGAAAAAAAATAGCTCAACGAGTATTTTTTGATAGATTCGTCCTAATTTTAGTGTAGTTTTTGGTTACGATTTCAATAATCACAAAGTTGAGTACAACAAGATGTGAAATATCACTGTATTTAACTGTACACGTTGGAGTTTTCTACAGCTTTTTATTTTAACATAGAACTTAGAATTTTATTCTCTGACTTTCCCAAATAGGGAATATATAATATAGATATAATATTATTATTAATTAATATTATTATATTAATATTATTATATGATAACTCGAGGAAAATTCTCCGATTTCGATAAAATTTAGTACAAATATATAAACCTGTTTTTGTAGTTTGCTTGTTTAACATATTGTAATCAAATTTGTGAAATTTATTTATTTCTTAATAAACTATAACATTTTACAAAAAAAACACATACTGTACTACTTTTGTTGTAGCAGCAAACCTAAGTACTCATTAAACTAATTTTATTTAAATAGAGAACAAATCTAAAACTCAAACTAGGTATTTTAGTGAAAATTTAACCAGGCAAATGAAAATTCGCTTAGTTTGCAGGTTTGCTGGGGGTGGGGTATTAATTAATACTAGTGGTCATCCAGTGGTCAAAAACTCGAACAAAAATATGTAATGTACCCGCATTGAATATTGCATACTGATGATGTAGGCATTCCATCTATATGGACCAGTTGTTGCTTTTTTTTATTAAAAACATGTAGTTGTATGAACCAGTCACAGTATGCGTGTCTAAAATTATATTTTCTATCTTATTTTTTGTTTCTGACAAAGTTGATGGGGCATAACGAATAGTTGCTATAGCTCTTAATAAGTCATTCCATAAGTTTGACTTGGTAAAAATCATCGTGTATTTGAGAGAAATTAGTCGTTTTGATCAGCGCAATCTGTTGGTGGCCCACATCATCTTCGACGAATTTAATTAAAACTGGCGCAAATTTGAACATAGGGATGGAATGTCTAGTTGTAAATCTAAGGTACATGCTTCTCTATTTTCACCCCACACTGTAAATAAAACATGTGATTGTAATTTCTTCTATGTTTTGATTTACTGTTTATATTTCGTTGTTATTTCGTCACCAGTCGGTAACCCATAAAGCCCATGTTAATTTTTTTTTATTTCAAATTCATTTTTGTACTTATATTTCAGCCTATTAGCGAATTTCCCTATAGGGAAGTAGCTATTACCGTAGGTGGCACGGTAAGACCTAGACCCGGGACCGATTTGCTTTTTAATTTTGATGTCCCCAGAGGCCAAAAACACCATTTGTTCAAATTTTTATATATGTATATATATATAGACTTATATATATATATATATATACGTCCGTGAACGCGATAACTTGAGTAATTTTTGTCCGATTTTGATGAAATTTGGTTTAAAGGTGTAAAGCGGGATAAACTTGAATGAGTTCGCGAACCAGCACGATTGGACCATGGGAACGGGGCTTTACGGGGGGTTTTATAGGGTAAAAATTGGTTTTTCTCACTTTTGACCCTCAAAACACAAAATTTCCCGATTTCTCTTTAGACCTTTTTAAAGAGCTTAAAAAAACAAATAGTTAAGTATGTAAAAGTATTTTTGTTCAATTATTAGTAACGGAGAAAATTAAAAAAATTGTAAATTTAAAATTCCCATGTTATTCTTATGGAGAATATTGTCAAATGTTGTAGTTTGCTTGTTTATGGATATATTTTGATCAGACTTGGCAAATTTATTTATTTTGTACTAAGCTATCAATATTTTACTCAAAAACACACTTTATTAGTTCCTTGTAGCAGCAAACCTAGGTACTCGTTAAACCTAAAGTTATTAAAATATATTTTACTGAAAATCAATTCAGACAAATGGAAATTCGCTTAGTCGGCAGGTTTGCTGCGGCGGGGGTATTTTAATTTTTAAAGAGACTCTGCACATTTAAAGAAAAATATCTTTCTAACAGTGTGCAGAGATTTTCCCTGCGATGAACATGAGCTGAGAAAAAAGGTTTTAAAGAAACATGCTTGCCTATTAATAAATAGATGCCTATGTATTAACAATGTGTGTTCAGAAATTATAAATAACAGATAAATACTCACACACAACTTGGTCTTTCGTTAAGCTGAGCTCATCCTAGAACAAAGGAAGACGATGTAAATATTCGTACGGTTACACTGAGTTTATAATTTCTAGAATACAAAGGCGTACATTCTTGTTTAGCTCTAAAAATTTAAACAATAATTACTAAACATCAAAGACAACATCTTCTACGCACAATAACCAAACTTCAAAGGCGCTTGCAATACCTTAGCTATGCTCTGGCAGGTAATTTCACGGCGCTATTTCCAAAAACAAAGATGTTTTCTGTTTTTATATGTAATATTATTTAATGGCTTGGGTTATACTGTAAGAGAATTCAATGAAGCATACTTAGCTGTAGATATTTCCTGTGTATATTATATCCCATAAATAGTAAGTGTGGTTAGTAAGCATATACAATTTTAGTTGGTACTAGCTGTGTACCCGTTCTACGCACGGGGATCTTATAATATTCAGTTGAAACCTTCTTATATAACGAACAGCAGTTGGTTTGCATATTTTAAGATATGCTGGCCAAACTATTATACATAGCTTCATTTTATGTTGTTTTTTGTTGTTCCGGATCGGTATGACAATCAATAAAAGGTTAAATTACCTCTGTGTCTGCCGGTCGATCCTATAACGGTAGGCTTACTTTTATTTTTACTATCTGATCTCGTTTGCATGGCTCAATCACGTCCTGGTTGAAGTTCGTTCGCTACGCTCACTCACCTGTATGTTGGAGCTCGTTCGCTGCGCTCACTTTCCTTCAGGTTAGCTCGTTCGCTACGCTCACTTGCCTTCAGGTTAGCTCGTTCGCTACGCTCACTCGCCTCCAGGTTGCAAATTAGCTGTTGTCATAAATGTAAAAGAAATAATAGTGCTAGTGCTGCACCCTGTTGGTAATCCTTGTAACTTTAATGCTATTGAACATCACAGAACAGAACCAACTTGTTTAATTGAAACAGCTGTTAAGATTCAATAATTTCATTTCTCATAAGGTTAACATGGGCTTCCAGAAATTCCACGTCAAAAATCGACAAAAACTTGATTTTCAAGGGTTTACTGTTAAATATCTAACTGTCTCATATTCGATGAAATACGTCTAAAACCATCTCATATATGTATAGTATTTGGAAAATAAGTTTCAGGCGGGACAGTGCTATAGTTATTGAGGAGTAGTTGTAATAAAGTGCGTATTTTAGCGTTACCAAGAGAATGACAGATAGACAGACAGACAGACAGACAGACAGACAGACAGAAATTGAGATAAGGTTTGATTCGGTTTCTCTGACCTATGAAATGTAAAAATAACCAAAAAGTTCATTATTCTAAGCAATGTACAGACAAAACTCTAATTTTATTTATATAGAAGATTCACACAGATAACACCTGAGGTTATTATACTAATAGAATAAAGTGAAAGATTGATCGAATGATTGTTTCGTAAAATTGATTGAGCACTTGAGTAAACAAAACAACTAATCTCAAAACATATCAACAATTAATTAGTTTAAAACACATGTGCCAATAAAACACCGGCTGGTACATCCCACCTTCTTCTAAGAGCTGGATGCAAGTTTTACGGTTTTTTGTGTGTGTTTTTATTTTATTTCTTTTTTTTAGAACCGTCCTGCTGATCTGTTTTGGAGGCAAAAGTCTGTCAATCTATTTACATTTGTAGGGTCTGGCCTGATATACAGTTGACTGAAGCCGCCAAAACATCCTACGTAATGTGTTCATAAATAAACAAAAATTGTTAGTTTGGTTGCATATCCATAACACTAAAACGTTTTCCTTACGTTTCGTTATGTGTATGCATACTGTTTTCTTAACAGCATTATTTTAATCATATTTAAAGCTATAAATAGATCCACGTTATCATTATGTAAAAATATTTTTTTTAAGTCTGAAAAGATTTCCATAAAAATGTTTCACTTGTGAAACAGACTACAAAGGACATTTTGATGGCTTACCATTTCTGTTTCAACGAAGAGATACTACAGTAAACAACCGATTCACCACGTACGGTACACTGTGACTATTTCGGAGTGTGTCTCTCCACGACTGTCGGAATAACCCTGAGATCCTCCACAAATACTGGTTTGGATTCTGATTCAACTGTGATTCAATTCCATTCACAGTCCATTAGTGGCATATTATTGTGCCTTATAATTTCTGTTAATTTTGAATCCGAATATATAACTAGACTCAATTTAAAATCGATTCGATGTGTTGTTTGAGAACATCAATGCTTATTTCGTACAGAATTTCTTGTTTGAACTTAACTTTATATACAATTTTGCAGATTGCTTTTGAATGTAGTATGTATTTAGGCAAGTCAACTTGAGCTATTAAAGTGGTAAGAGAACTTATGTTTAATAACTATGTATTAGACTGCAACTATGATATTTTTAAATCATACCTTGAGTACCTATATTTATTTATATAGCATTACAATTTAATTTTTAGCTGAAAATAACTGAATTCGGTCGTGTTGATTTCTTTTGCTTACATTCTGGTTTGCTTGCTCCATTAATGTATTACAATTCTAATGGGTATATGTATATAAGTAACGTTTTATATTGAAGAGGGAAAAATAATCAATAGCCTACGTGTTTTAGGGAGTTTCCCTACAGGGAAGTAGCTATTACCGTAGGTGACACTGTATGACCTAGGACCGGGCCCGATTTGTTTTTTATTTTGATGTCTCCAGAGGCAAAAAAAATCAGTTTAAAAAGCTAAGTATATAGATTTATATCTATATATGTGTGTGTGCCCATGAACGCGATAACTTTGAGTAATCTTTTTCCGATTTTGATTAAATTTGGTTTGAAGGTGTAAATGCGGGATAAACTTGGATGAGTTCACGAACCAGCCTGATCGGACCATGGGAACGGGGTTTTATTGGGTAGAAATTGGGTTTTCTCATTTATGACACCTAAAGCATAGAATATCCCTTTTTTCTTTAAGCCATTTTAAAGAACAATCAATCAAATAATTTAGGATATTATACTATATTCCTTATAGGGAAGTAGCTATTACCACTGTAGGTGGCACGGTAAAACCTACACACGGGACCAATATACTTTTTTCATTCCGATGTTCCTAGAGGCCAAAAACACTATTCGTTCATCTTACTAATATTATAAATCTGAAAGTTTGTGAGTTTGTGTGTGTGTTTGTTGCTCAATCACGCATAAAGTACTGGACGGATTGGGCTGAAATTTGGCATGATGATAGCTCACATTCCCGATTAACATTAAAGCATATTCTTATCTCAAAAACCCTTTCGGGCTCCGCCCCAGTGGCTCTTTAGTTCCCCATGTTAATCTTATGATTTTTCATATTTAAAAGGAACTAGTTAACCGCCCGTGCTCCGCCACGGGAATATTGTCAGCAATAAAATAAATAATAATTAACAAATACTGTTTATCTTTGTATTTTATTTAGGGGTTGTTTAATTTTTTACATGAAATAGAACTGATAGTTTGCCTGTATAAACTATTTTATGTTAATCAAACCAATATATGATTTTAACCAAATGAATGTTTATCTAATAAGCAGCTATTTATGCTATTTAGATAATTTGCTCAAGTATATTCCTATATTCGTCGTTTTTTTCCCATTACATTTGTTGTATGGAATAAAGATAGTCACTTAGCCTACATGTAAATCACGCATCAGCAGTTGGTCGCATTTCACGAATCTTTGACCCATACTGTGAGTAAAAGCTGTGTTTACGTCGTATATATAAAGTTGGGCATACTTTGTTCAATGTTAGAGGGTATTAACGGTCCAATTTGATGGAAAAGAAGTCGTGGATTTTAAAACTATCTAGACTACCACTACCAGAAAGATGTTGATTCAAGTGAGACTTGGAACTGGCCATTTCAAATGCAGATTTGTACCTATTATATTTTACTCAAATAGCTTTTTGTCTCTTTTGACCCTTAATACTTTTTTTATAGTCGCTGTTGATAAGATTTTCCATAAACTTAAAATGCTGATAAGGAGTTCATTTTACCTTCCCCTTGTGACAACACAAGGAAAAAATATTTGTGTCCCAGTTAGTCTGTTCTGACTCAAAATTCATAGATTTGCAGTACTAACAAATCCAATCTAACGACCCCAATTCAAAAAAATTGGTATTTTTTAGAAGGGACTTCCAGAGCACATTTAACACCATCACTGCTCTTTACCTTTTTAGTTTGATGGTTCTCTAGATGTTTTTTTTCGTTCTGTATGTCTCTTTACGCCCGGTTAATGATTACCTTTTCTTTTTATTTTTGTACTTTTCACATCCTGGGGTTAATGATAAACGCTATAATGACCCGAGTCAACATTGCCATTAAACATCAAGTCAGATACTTCTTCGCCAGACCGAAATCGTAAGTCACAGTTTCTCAAGCAACTTCCCTGTGTACTTGAAAAAAAATTCACTGATAAATTGTAGTTTCCAAATATCCCAGCGTACTCGCCATCTCGAGAAGGTAAAATTTGGACGTCGAACACTAATCTTGAGTAAGATTAATCACTTACGATAAAATGTTTGTATGTTTACCAATCATTAGCAATTATCTGTACAACTTGCAAGCGGATTTCCCTATGATTGTTCAGGTGGCTATAGAGAATAAATTTTATTGATCAAAACGATAAGTTTCCGTCCCCTACTATGGGTATTATTTCACATTCCATACTCAAACTTAAACTCAATTACCACTTTCCTTCAGATCACTTTGCAGGAAAACTAAAACATTTTTGTGTCCCAGTTAGTCTGTTCTGACTCGAAATTCATAGATCTGAAGTAGTGACAAATCCAATCCAACGGCCCCAATTCAAATGAGTTGGCATTTTTTGTAGGGACTTCCAGAGCACATTTAACACCAACACTGCTCTTTACCTTTTTAGTTCGATGGTTCTCTACATTTTTTTTCGTTCGGTATGTCTCTTTACGCCCGGTTAATGATTACCTTTTCTTTTTCTTTTTGTACTTTTCACACCCTGGGGTTAATGATAAAGTTTTATAACGCTTATAATGACCCAAGTCAACA